GATATATCAGAAATCGCACCTGAAGTTGCTCATGGAAAAGTATTGATCTGCACTTATCATCAAGCAAAGGGAATCGAGCGGAAGGCCTCGATTGTTCTTGGATTTGATCAGGCATATCACAGCTACTTCAATAAGGTCTCCGAAGATCCCATTGCTGTCACCAATCCGCAATACGTAGCAGCTACTCGGGCACTTGAGCATCTTGTCCTTATTCATGCTCATACAAACGCACCCTTGCCCTTTGTGGACCTGGACACTGTGGATGAAACATGCGATTTAGTCATGACTCGTGATCTGGATATTCAACCCCCAGGCCCTGAAAGACAAGTGCCTATGTTCGGCGTCACTGCATTGTGTCGAAATGTTTCAGAAACTCTCATAACAGACTGTCTAAGTCGTCTCGAGTTCAAAATGCTTGCCGAACCGACTTACGGAACCTCGCCTCCGTCTTCTGAAATACAAGACATTTATGGTCTTGTTGAAGCTGTGGCAGCAATTACTGGAACAGCTATTCCTGCTATTTACCAGTGGCGCCTGAAAAAGAGGTCGGCCATACTTGCGGAACCTTTAAAACTTCTCGAGCCACCTAAGAGGCCAACGAAACGACGAAACCCGCTACGCGAGCTCCCGAGAGAATTTTATGAGAGAATCGAGCACATAAAATACGCGTATGAAACTGGAGTTATCACAACCGGTGATTTGTTATACCTATCAAACCTTGAGATGGCAGCAAAAGATAAAGATATTACCAAGCTATTGAGCATTCCATTGATGGGGTACACATGGATAACAGAGACTTATTGTAAAGATATTCATTATGTCCTAAATACGCTACCAGGCGACGCCAAAATTTCAGGACGAGGTATATTTTTCGAAAGCTTGAGGTATCGCAAATTCCCCCTTATCACCCACGGTGGTGGGCCTACAAGACCGTTGAAGAAATCAGGAGTCATAATCACTGGCGCCATGGATATATGTCGACCCAAAAAAGAGATCGCTGCAGTCTGGGAAATCAAGCATTCAGATTCCTTGTCTCCAGAGCATCTACTACAGGTTGCTTTGTACATGTTACTTCTCGGGGGAAAATCATCAGGGTTCCTCGTTTCTGCACGTACTGGTCAGACGGTGCAAGTTCTTCCCAAGACTCCGGATTCGCTTATGCAAATTCTGCAATTACTTGTGGACTCTAAATCTGGGGGCGAACAGTCGAGATTGTTAAACACATACTCGGATGAGGAGTTTTTGGAAGAATGTAGAGCGGATTTTGGGGGCTTGGTGGGAAAATGTGCATTGCCGGCTTGGTTTGCTATGAAGCCTAGTGTGTCTAGGTTTAAGAAGGGAGTGAGAAAACGGAAAGACAAAATAGATTGATTTGACGGATGGAGTGGCTAGGGCCTCGGTGATACTTGATATGGAGGTTGCAAAATGGATGGTGGTAATAATATAGATAGTAACTTTAGAAACCATAGAGAAAAGTAGAAAGAATCCAGTACAAGGTATAAACCATAATAAACGCCCTTCATCAGTTTCTTATATACTCAATGTTAAGATCAACCCTCTACGTAGATAGCTATGTATAATACCTACATGTAGTTGGATATCTACAGGAGGGCAAGTATTCAAGATCGATGAAATGAGAAGGAGTGGAGCATGTGAAAGAGACTCGATTGTGCTGCGTATGCTTGAGATGACTTGGTTATTGAATGAACTGCGCTTGCTTTTTTCTCGATGGAAGTGAAAGGAGTCTCGAGAAAGTTCATGGGAGTAATACTGGGTTAATTTGGGATGTGTATCTGGATGTTTATAATGAGTTGGTATAGAACCATGGATGGTTGATAGCCACTTGTATCTCTTTCCATGTGTCTATTCCCCTTCCCTCTTTCAACATATCATATCATAGTTCGCACGCATCATCTTGAACATTGAACAGAAATTCTAGCTGTGTCATTTCATGTAATTAAGTAAAATGTTGATGAAATGTTGGATGGAAATTGTGTAAATCGAATGGATCTAGATACTGTGGTAGACTTGATATTTAAGATATACTTGGTATTTTAAATGTTTTCAATCTTTTGGATTTTTTATGTTGTTTTATTGTCTGAAAGGGATTTGATGCTTTTGATGTTTTGGATTATTTGGACATTCGAGTTGATTCTGTCTGATGTCTCAAGTTATTTCAGCATCTCGAATGATTCCAATAGTCCACTTTGCTTCAATATCCCAAGTTATTTCATTGTTCGATGTTAAACTATTGTTTTAATTCTTATCAATTTCTCAAGGTATATGAGTTTACTAACTCATGTAAGTGTCCCAAAGTATAAGCGCATCAAATCAAATCAATGTACCAGAAAATTTCAGTATCTCAAGTGAGTTGAATGCACAAACTGAGGTCGATTGCATATTTGGACAAGATGCTACAGCTCATCCATCTCACTTTTCGTTATTCGAAACTCCATTTGGAAATTCGATTGCGTCTCTGAGTTAAATGACTCAACTCCACTCTTCATCAATAGAATGAAACTTCATTAGTCTAGCTGTCTTTTGAGCCTAGAAACTTCCTTTTGCACCTTGCCTGCTTTGTTAGAGCTAGAAGCCGACAATCCAACTTTCCATCCGGATTAAATACCTCAATATACAATCCTTCGTTCGCACCTGATGTTGATTTATCTCTTTGAAGACACCTCAGCTCACACAATTCTTCACTGTTTGAATTGGGTTGCGATCATCATTTTATCCATTTTTTCAGATTATGTTCCACACTCTGCAAAACTAAGACATGCCTTTGAACATGAGATGGATTATGAGAGCACAAGACAAGGTTAACGGGTACCTGAAATCATGGCAGATTGTCTCTTGGATCCAAATATTACCATCGTTCACATATCAGAATGGATATCACTCTCAAGAAAGTACCAATCGACGATAGTGAAATTTTGTCAACTTCGGATCTCCAAGCGAGCCCCTCATAGGCTTCCAAATCAATTCTCAGCTAGTCGATACTAGAGAACTACCCCGTCTCTTGACTATGGTGAATATCATAATTAAGGACATAATCAAGCTGGGCTGACACGGCATATATGTTAAGGGTTCAGAAGACGGGAAAATTCCCTACAACTTTAGAAGTCTCGCTGCATGTGAAATCTCTTATTGAGATAATGATCAACATACCCATACTTGCCAGACCCTAACCGAATCAGTTAGGAAGGGCACCTAGGTAGAGGCGCCAAGTAACTGTCACAAATCAGCCAATCAGCCATTCGACCAACAGTTACGAAAAAGTCCTCCTCATTCTTGTTAAGCTCAAACAAATGCTCAAACCAATATGCGCATCTCGATACTTGTATCCATTCGCCCTTGCCATTGAAAATTGTTAAGACAGTCCACCAATCGACGAAACCACCTCACCATTTTGGGGCTTGGCTGGCGATATGCGATATTGGCATTTGTTTCTAGGATCCCAGCCGAAGAAGTTATCCTTTCGCACACTTTCTCCAACATACTTTTCCAACCGTCCAGTCTAAATGCTACCTATCGATACTACTTGGCTTTTTTTTTTTTTTTTGGAGAAATATAGGCATTAAATTTTTTGTGAGTCCTCGGCTATGTTACTGTATCGTGTGCCTCAATTCCGATCAGAAGGGCTAATCATTTTCCATATGTGTTGAGTCAGACTCCGTACTCTACTACCTAGATACAAGATGGTCAGTGTAATATCCAAGACCTGCGATATCTCGATTGTAGATTGGAAGGCAAAACTCGAGGGTGGCGTCTACATATGCAGACTGGCGGAAGTCATCAGTATCAGATGCAAAGATCCTTCTCTGTTCTCTGACGACATAACTTTCATAGGAATATAGATCATACCTCTCCACGAGGAGATTACCAACTCCTTCACAACAGAAACAGAGATATAGAGATCGACAGAGAGGAATTGTTGAATGAGCCTCGAAATGCTGGACGAATGTCTATTCCACAAGGGATATCCGCTAGACCTTGCTTCTTTCGTAGTTAGTGCAGTTCACATAATCGCCTCCGTTGCCCTCTGGGGTAGACACAAACTCTGCGACAGGTAGCTGACACCCTTTCAGTCCTCATCATGGCTTTTCCCTCGTGATTGGTGTACAGATTCTTCTCCCTCTGTGGCTTCATATCAAATCTTTCCTAGGATATAACCATTTTTCCTCCGTGAACACAATCTTGGGGTACACTGCCACGCCTTACTTTGTTCGGCTTTCTAGGCAAAAGACTGATTTAAACTCATCTGGTACGATTCGTAACATCTTATTCAGCCAGGTGTACACCTTGAAACTTGACCTCGAGGGGATCTCTCATCTCAACCATCACATGGAAACACCTCTATTCAGAGCACTGAGAGAATTCAGTGATTCCGGAGGTCGAACAAAGCTTTTCTCTAGCCAGCCAAGGCTTCTCTAACTCCAACGAATCTCCACAATTCGGAGAACAGAGGAACGAAAGATACATGAAATACGGCTTCTTCCATGAAGCCTTCTCACATTCCTGCCATAGTAGGCATTATCAACCCAAATCAGTGCGTCACATGAAGCCCTTGGTGATGAATAAAGTTCAGGATTACCCAATGAAGCACTATTTTCGTAACTGGCAAGTACGTCATTGTATTTCAGTTCGTTGCAAATCTAAAAATTAGCGGCTCCCACAAACATTTAAATATTACCACCCCTTCATTTTCGAGCAAGAACATCGATATCATCATTTCGTGGCAGACTAGCATCAAATAATTCGATTACATTATTCCTACCTCCATAACCATAGTGGTTTGAGTTTTCTAACGTGTGAATGAACAGGGAATTCGGTGAACGGCTCTCATCTTGGAAGTTTATGGCATCAAAATTGAAATATCACAATTCGATTATTAACAAAAGTAATCATAGTTGGATTTTGAAATACAAATTCGATAAAAGGATTGACATTTGCCCGGTTCGTTTTGCAAGTCGGCATTAAAAACTGCTGGCTCCTCTAAAATGCTTTCAACAGAAACACTTGAGGTTGTAAGACACCAAACTAGCATCTGGGCAGTAACGACTCGGATTGCAGTCGTTGACGCGGTTGTCTCAGCACCTGTCGCTCTTCCATCATCTACAGAATACTGTAGTATCATTCATCGCCAAGATACTAATTTTTGCCCCGGTGATTACGTCGGGTTCATGATATGCCTTGTCGGTTTTTTCATTGGACTAATCATAAATATTTTCGCTTGCTGTGAAGCGTCGCAGAACGATGTCAAGGATTTGATCGGTTGGTTGAAGTATCGCCCAAAAGAGGAGTGGGAAGATATTATAGATTCGCGAGCCGAGGCTTCGGGTAACTGGACAGAATGTTTACCCTACCAGGTGCATCGTTTGAAGAAAAAGAAGAGATCATTGCTTTCCATCTGTATGTTATGCATTTTTATAGAAGATTCTGACGATATGCGCTAACGGTCGTATGGCAGTTCGGGGAGCTTCAAATGCAATCAAACAGGACAATGATGTTAAAGATTACATACGAGGCGTGAGGGAAATTTCGGGGTATCATTAGACAGCAATGATTTATACTGGTTGATGATAGATGTCATCCATCTCTGGATATTATCAAGGGAGAGCTACAATAGAAGAATAGAATAGTTGGTTCACCAGTGGGTGTATAGACTGACGGGACACTGTAAGAAAGGACTTGTGAATATCTCTTAATATATCAAGTTCTGTATCTTAGAAATTCTAACAATTGTTTGTTAGAGATAAAACAATCAAAATACAAATTCTGATATCAAATAATTGAAGAACGAATTTGTTAAAAATTTCGAAAGTTAGGAAGTGTTCCGTTAACCCATGATGCACCCACTGGTGGTTTAAACCTGGTTTGTACACATTCCATAAATTCCATCTGATTGAAGTCTTATACCAGAATTTTGTCCCTGGTTTCCACACTGTGATATCATATCAAAGGCGTAATCCTAAAGGTCGATTCGCTGTTGCTCTCACGATACTCTCAATTTTTTGCAATCGATGTCGGTCAGTCTCTCATCATTCTATTTTCCATAAAAAGATAGAACTCTCATATCTGCATTGCCATTCTCAGCTATATGATTGCATTAGATTACTCTGGAGCGTGTCATGAATCGAATTACATTCACAAGAATTTACATTAGAATGATGGATAGCCGTGGACTATGTGTTGTCAAAGTCTCATGAATATGGACCTGTAGAATAACTTGTGCTTAGCACACGTCAAAAGCATACTTAATCATTACTTACGTCCTACAATGCCAAATAGCAGACATGGACCAGCAAAAAGGAAAAAGAAACATACAACAGTGGGGATTCGCTGGTGGTCCACCCACCCAACTACTAATCCACCGATCTGAAGCTTGTGTATGGCAGAGCGGACGGGATGCCCAATTCTCTTCAGTCTATGGTCGTATGTGTCAGGAATCGGCGTTTGTGGGATTATGTACAGAATGATAGCGCACATGGGCGGAAGCGAGGGAATTTCACTTGGATCACGTGATACATGATCAGGATTCCTCGATCCTCAAGAGCTCTGAGGAACTTTGGACAATTCAGAGTGATATGATAGTAGACTGAATTGACCATATTTTTGACTTGTTTAAGACTTTGGAATTGTGAGATGAGATCACCACGGCGGAATTTCATCAATGAAAATGCGTCTATGATGAGCTACTGAACTTGCAATTTCGACGGGCTGTGATTGTATGTGTATAATGAGAGAGAGGCCATACTTTTCCCAGCTTGTTTGGTTCTCGTTACCAAGTTGTGTATTAGTCAGGTTTGGTTTCAGGTTCATACAAACATTCTCACCTTCGTGGAGCCTAATCCAAGGCCAAAATTTCCTGGGGTTTAGATTATCCTGCGATGACAAAGACATACTTTTTTGTCTCAAGAAATGATTTGGAACTCACTACTTATCTCTAACTCACATTCGAATTGAAAGCGATGGATAGCAAATGGAAATATTCACAATAAATATCCATCTATCCCTGTCTTTTGGATGCATTCTCCAAGCCGAAAACCAGGAAGTCCAAATGTAAGTAGAATATTCCTAGTATGAAATTCGGTGTTTTTCCATTCGCTCTAACCAATTCCAAATTTTGCAGATGTGCAACAAATCATCTTCTTGATTTCAAATATCCCAAGTCTGGAGTGGAAGGCCATCGGAATCTCCGGGCATTCAGGATGTTGAGACATGCAACAAAACCCAAATTTGCCACCAAGATGTCAATTACAAATATTCTCGAAATGAAATGTGCAACAAGAGCATCATCGAAGTACCATACCATGAGAGTGGATATGGATTCCATTGGGAAGAAGAACTATGATCCTTCAATACAACCCTTTTCAATTATGTGCAAGATTAGATAAGAGAATGGAGTAGGGAAGAGAAAAACGGTTTGATATGAGGGAGTGATGATGGGCATTCAAGTAAATTGATTGATTGATTGATTGATTGATTGAATTTACGTCCACCTTCAGTCTAAGACTATATAGGACGACTAGGCCCGATGAGCCTAACAGGTAACTTTTTGATTTACAATATTGGTTATGATCTTATTAGGGAAGTGAAAACAAATGCTGAGGAACAGTGCCCGCTCATTATATATATTGCATATAATAAGAAAATTCTGACAATCAAGAAATTATGAGGAGATCAAGCCCCTCTCTTATTTCCTTAACTGTTTCTTCTTCATTATCTTCTTCTCTCTCCTCTTCCACTACTACTCCTTTCTCTATTACTTCTTGTTCAAAAGTCCTTGCTAGATGCCAGGCATTCAAGTAAAGACAGCATGAATACTAAAGATACAACAACAATACACTTCGATGCGACAATAATGAATACTTATTCATGCGACAACGAGTGATCAAAGAGTACAGACTCTGGTAAATACCGTAAAGCCCCAAGTACTCCGCGACACAGCCTCTATAAATATCCTTGCAAGTTATGAAAGGCATTTCATGTGATGAGAGCTATTGAGTATGGTCAGAGCAAAACCTTTCCTCATCCCCACCAAAAATCATCGCATGAGCCAGCCCCACTATCATCTCGCTTAATCCCCCCTAAGAAAAGTTTTTACAAATTTTTCCTGTTAATTCCCCAAATATATTCTCAAACACAGGATTCGTCTTCAACAAACCATCAAGCAAAGCCTGCCCGGCTAGCTCAATCGGTAGAGCGTGTGACTCTTAATCACAAGGTTGGGGGTTCGACCCCCCCGTTGGGCTCAATTCCCAATAAAAAAGCTTGATTTTTTTGCAATTTTTTTCTTTGGATTTTCAAGAGAAAAGTTGATTATTATTTTTGATTGATTTTCTGAGTGGGGGAGAGGGATTGAGGGACTAGTAGTCTACCCAGGCGATGAGTTGTGGAGTGAACTATACCAATGACACTAGTTGCCGTCTAGTGTATATTTAGTTTTGCCTACTCGCCATCTTCTGACCCGCTTTATCGATCAACGTGAGGGTTCTTAAAGTAGAGGGGAGATATTTAAAAAGCTTGAGATAACTCCTCAATCTTAAAATCTCTGCAGACTGTTAGCAAATTGGATCAGTCTCAGCCTTATAGCATAGATCAACGAGGATTGAAAATGGTACTTCGAGGGGGGGCACTAGGGCCAGTATACGTGCCCCTGTGTCTTCCCGAATGTGTTAGTTTCATGAGTCATTAGCACACATCTACGATGGTTTCCTTTTTGGGTTTCGAGGAGTAGATGTGTGTATCACCATCCATCCTCTCCTTTGGCGCTTTGTTTCGTCTTTCTACGGCAATTTCGCCCCTCTCTCCATACTCCTAGCTTACATGCGCTACTAAGCGATGCATTAAGGAAAACGAACTCCAAATGACTACCTATAAATTCTTACATTCCAAATAAGATTCTGGATCCAATGTCTTTAAGGGGAGCGGCGTTATTAATCAGAATGCGACCCTCTTCAAAATGAAAGAGGAGGTCAGGAAATCAGTAATAAATCAATATATCATCTCAGATGCAAATTTCTAATACATGACAGTAACGACAAAGTCTTTTCGAGATAGAGAGATGGGATGTATAGTGGATATTTAGCGACAGCAATAACAAGAACCAAAAAATACTAGATGAGGAAACATAAACTGCTCATCCGAATTAATACGTCAATTATGGCGATAAAAAATACTGCTGAAACACCTGTTGTTCATTCATGTTGCTGTTTTACTTTTCAGTAAAATTAGAACCGGCTTAAAAAGATGACTGTAAGCGTCTACCCTACCTTCTCTAATCCGAATTTCGATTTACTACTGTGATTCAAATATTGCTCAAAAGCATATATTAAGGATGTGAATCACCAACCACATTCTTTTCTTTCTTCTTCTTCGATACAGTGATCTTCAAAGCATATTAGTAGAGTGAATTTCTTTTCTCGAGCGCCTATTACTTACCTCTCAAAATTAACCGAGATTTGAATTTTAAAATACATCTCTATATCAAAGACCACTCTCAAAGATTAATTTCTAATCATTTTCCAAACAAATGGGATATACACAATACAAGGACCTCGGGAGTGGAAGCTGATAGAGGCAATAAGAGATTGGCAGGCTGAGAGACACAATATTGAACGTATACATCGCTAGATTCGAACAGATGTAATCCATAAGAAGCAGGCGAACAGTTCATGTATGCTTAAAACTGAGAACGACAGTAATTGATAGTACCATTACTTATCCGACAATGAAATTAAATGACGGCAAAGAAAAGTCTTCTTGTCTCATCTTGTTACTCGCAAATCTTCTCTCGCCCAGAAGGTAATCTAATCTTGTTACCCTCCTACTATCGACTTGTGTTCATAGTACACTATAGAAACTATAGCAACTGCATTTCCATCCATCATTTTCCAAATTAATCAGGTCTATAAAAAGCTTGACTTATAAGTTGGAAGCTGCTGGTGGTTATAGTGATATGGATAGCAGCTTGTAGGCAACGAAACGATATTAATGAAACAGTATAATTGATTGCATTGTAATTTCTCAATCGATTTTGGACAATAGAATAATCCGATCCTGCCTCCAATCCGAACTTTCAGACTCGACAAGGAATCATACTTTGATCAACGACAGCATTAACCGTTATACCAGTCTACACCCGACAGTAAGCTCGTAAAAGAACAACAAAACTATATCATACTCCCCTCCCATTCCTCTATTCTCCATCCATATTTCCCTCGTCTACAGATAACCCTAAGTCGAGAGCGAGAATAGCCTTCGCATTTCATGGTATTTCTCGCATTAAGAAATCAACTCCTGTCATGGTATTCGTTGCCTTTGTCCTTGTCTGTTAAAGATATCAAAAGAAGAAAGATGAGTGTGATATATATAGTCTAACTGTCAGGGAGCGACCACCTGACAGGGTTTATATAGTAGATCCACTGTTCCGAACGCATTCGGAACACTCCACGCTTTTGTGGGTTAGTAGTAAAGTGGATCAAAAAGATTTAAAAGATTTAAAAGATTTAAAAGATTTAAAAGATTTAAAGATTTAAAAGATTTAAAAGATT